GTGTACGTCACGCATGACCGAGGCCTCGACTGCCTCGGCTTCGGATGGGACGGATCCCTGGGTTCGCGGGTCGGATGGGACGGGTCGCTGGCACGCGGGTCGGATGGGACAGCGGGTCGGGTTCTCCGGATCGTGCGACGTGGACGATTTGAGGCCGAGCTTCTCGGGTACGCGGGGCGTACAGGAGTACGCGGCGCGTAACTCGGATGCTGACTCCCCTTCGGATAATACCCGAATTTTGAATAAAATAAATAATTAATTTATTTAATAAACTTCAAAAATTCATATCTTCTTCATACGAACTCCGTTTTTGATGGTCTTTATATCCTCGCGTAGGTGAGACTACGCTCTTCAACTTTCGTTTAGACTCCGTCGGCAAATTCCGAAATTATTTTTTTATTAAATATTAAAATCTATCGTGTTTAAGGAATTTCTTTGAAAATTCGTAACTTCTTTATCTGATGTCGGTTTTTGCCAGACTTTTTACCGCTGGAATACCATTGTCGAGACCTTCGATTCTCGTTTAGGTCATTCCGGTCAAAAGTCGCTCGATTTCTGATTCGAGTTTTTAGCTGTCTGTTGCTGAGTCGAATTTGGAAAAACCATAACTTCGCTAAATGAAGTCGGATTTGGGCGTTCTTTTCACGTACGATCATGGTTCAAAGACATTTAATCATAGAAGGAAATTAAATAGGACTTATTTGTACATTTTATTATGAAAGTAAATTTTATTACTCAGAAGCGGTTACAATACTTGACCCACTTTGGTCGTTACAAAGAGTTGAAATATCGGGTTGTCACAGCTTTGAAGACTAAATGTTATCTTGTGTTTGAAGTTTATGGAAATGTTTTCTAGTTAAATATCTTGTTGTGTTTATTTATCTTTGATCATGAGCTTAGATGAATGAATGCTTATTTTTGTTAACTAATTTCTTGGTTAAGTAATGCACCCTCAAATTAGTAAACAACAAATAGTTTATATGTTTGTTTTCATTTCATTTAGACCATGTAAATGTTTCCTCCATAATGATAGTGTAAGCATTTGATTATCTTTTAGACTTGGTAATTCTTAGAACTTAAAGCTAATTGATTTTCACAAGATTATATGTTTCATTGATTTTGTGACTCTAATTATGGAAATGTGTTAAGAGCTCCTCTAACCATTTTAATAGCCATGAAGAGTTGAGGTAATATGTGCTTATGAATTGTTATAACCAAGTTAAATTGATTCAAAAGTGTTATTCCATTTAGTCTAATGATAAGTCAACAATGTCATCCATGTAGTGTGCCTAAAATCAACAAATTTCACTTCATTGAATTTAATCAAATCTTTTACTTGTTTATTTGTCAAACTTATATTCTACCTTAGTTTTAATTTTGTCAAACAATCAAAAAGAATTAACCCCCCCCCCCCTCCTCTTTTACTTTTACTTTCGTTTTACAAGTACTTGAACAAGTGATTTAAATTGAACAAATCTTCGTGGATACGATCCTTTTAACATTATACACTATTTTAGTGTTCAAGATTTAGGGTTATTAATTTTGTTGGCCTCGACAACCACCAAACCCCTTGTGGGTTTTCCAAGCCCATTCTATTATGTGCGAGCCGAAAAAACCCAATGTACCATAATCTGCAACAATCATTACACGGATTTCAAAACCAGACGTAAAAGCCATTCCCGAGTAGAACTTCCGAAAATTTGACATATTATCCAATGTAGTACTGAAACAATACCGTAAACAAACATCCTCTTATAGACATAAAAGTTGAATAAATCCTCTGTAATAAGCACACAACTCGTAGAAGAAACGAACACCATCACATTGCAACTAACTAACCCCAAGAGGCACTCAATCGTTAATCACAATTTGAAGACTTCTAAATCAAACCTGGGTTCTAGGAGAACAAGGCCACTAATGTAGTTCGCTATGTACAATTTCAAGGTTGGCCAACAATACAATGATTTCAAATCAAAATACATTTTGGTGCTTCCCGGGTGTACCAAATACTTAGAATTATATATTTCATCAAATAACATATTCCTTACCTTCCTTAACGAATATGGTATTCAAAGTCATGAATGTTCTTTCAAGTATAAGTCCTTGTTGTAATTTACAGACGTAATCCTTGTCTCGGTTGTTTGTCTGGGTGAGATAATTGTGATGACATGGAATTAAATGTTGTTCTCTTTGGTTGGAGCTCAATTTACCTTGGTAGTTAAAGGTTTCAGATATAGTGCTTTTGGTGGAGTTATTGCATGTTTGGCTTATATGAAAATATAAGATTGATGTTATCTTCAGAACCACTTGTTGGGTACTTTTGGATACATGAATGAGGTGGCCTTCTTGGTATTAGTGTATATTGTAGATGTATCTTTATCTTTGTATTTGGCCTTTGGCCTTGTAGGGTTCGGCCCATTCTATTGTACTGTATCCTATATATTGTTCAATATATTCCATATGGTTTCAAGGGGAAACACTCGACTAGTATGGTATCAGAGCCAATAGTCAATAAAGACACATCTACAATATACACTAATACTTGGATAACATGTGTAGACAAGGGCTGATTTTTTATTAGGTTGTTGATTTATCTTTATTGTGGTATCCAGTAGGAATCGTAAAATTAACTTATCTTGGGTGTCTTGCTCGAAAACCCCATAGACATTATGTAATTGTGTAGCTCCTTGCATAATCTCTTTACATTTGAAAGGACCAAGTCAAAGGATCGATGAATTGCTCTATTAAGCATGTACCTATAAATTAATTTGAATTTGACATGGAATCAACCTCATGCAAACAAAAAAAAATCAAAAGTTAGTTAAGAACAATTCAAAAGTTCATTAGGTGGAATATATAGAACTATATTAATGTTTTTGTTTATCTTGTATAAAGTATTTTTTGTAGGGCTAAAAAACTGGCTACCTTAAATAGAAGAAAAAAATAATAAATAAAAGGAAAAAAAAGTTCGATTATCTTAGACAAAACTGCACAAATGGTCCCTGTGGTTTGCTCAAAATTGCCACTTTGGTCCAAAAAAGTTTGGACTAGCACTAGAGGTCCAAACTTTTCATTTTTGTTGCTTGTTTAGTCCATTCTATTCTGATTTTTTTCAAAATGACGGATTTGCCCCTGTTAATATGATTTTCTTTTTTGTTTTCTTAATTGTTTTTTGTGATTATGATTTTCAGATTTAAAAAAATAAAAAATAAAAATAAATCTCTCTCTCTCTCTCTCCAATTACCCATCTTCTTCTTCCTGAAAATTGTCCAGATGAACAAAAAAAGAAGAACAAAAAAAACACCTAGAACAAATTGTTGAACACGTCAATTCTCAATGGAGATGGAGAAAAGAGAATGATAAATCATATCTAAGGTTAGTCTTCTCCATCTGTTTTCAGATATGTTTGTCTTCTCCATCTATTTTCATATCTATTTGTGTTCTTCATCACTGTCAGGATCAATACCACACCCTTCTCAGTTCATCTTCACCATATGTGGCTCGATTTTCAGTGTCACCGAAAAATTCTCCCCAACCACACCCTCCACTCCTCCAGTACCACGGTATCAGAAGACGAAATAGAGGGCTGATCGAATAAGGGAGAAAGAAGAAAATGAAATCAGATCGATTTCATGGGTTCTTGGGCTTTTCATCTGAACACACACACAATGACCTGAAGACGAAATGACAGAGGAAAACCCCTGAATCGAAATCCGCTTCTCTACCTCATCTCTCTGACGATAGTCTTCAGTCTTGAGCTCATGTCTCTGATCTCCTCCTCAGACAAGAACAGATCTGAGTCAGTGAAGTCTGAAATCCTTCTTCAGATCTGTCAATCTGAAACCCCTCCTCTTCTTCATATCTAGTCATCTAACTTTCTTTCATCTTTTTTATTCATGTAAACAACCATCGAATCATAAATCCAATTACACTGAATCGATTTCCATATGAAGATTAGACATGAACACCCATTTCTAGAAATTTAGAACACGCACACACACTCTTAAATTGATTTCCAGAAACACAAACACACACGATTTTAGTTTTTGATTCGAATTTAGGAATCTGATTCTTAAGTTACCCTTGAAAAAAACTCACAAATGATTTCCATTGAGTTATGATTTAGAAAAAACCCAAATGAAAACGAGATTGGAAAGATACCCAGATGAGATATTTTCTTCAAAAGAGGAGAGAGAGAGAGAGAGAGAGAGAGAGAGAGAGATTTGGTTTTTTTAATTTTTCTTTTAATCAGAAAAATATTTAAATAAATAAAAAAGTAAAAAAAAACAAAAAGCAAGGGCAAAAGCGTCTTTATAAAAAAGTTTAAAGCAAATCGGACCAAACTCACAACAAAATAAAAAGTTTGGACCTCTGGTGCTAGTCCAAACTTTTTGGACCAAAGTGGCAATTTTGAGTAAACCACAGGGACCATTTGTGCAGTTTTGTCATTATCTTATCATGCAATTCAACTTAAAAATTAGTGTTAAGTTGATAGTGACCTACTCAAAAAAGACAAATTATAAGAAAACAAAAACCTACATCATATCATTTGTTCATATATATAATACTATTTCGGCATAGATATTCATGCATTCTTAAATATTATTAATAGATACTATGTTTGATTCCAAATGAAGAGAAACCAACGTGTTGTTGTTGATACTATGTTGGTGCAACAAGGGCTTTCTACATTGGAATCACCGATTGCCCTGGACAGCCAAACTCTCTAGCGAAATATCCAATAACCGCTAACTCACAAGAATTGCTACATCCTTCCATTAATCATTCGTTCACTTGATCGATTTTCTGAATCTTTTAAAAAGAAGTCATTTTCAAGAAATGACAAAATGGATTGATGTCCTCATAGGAATTTAACCAGCTTATCGTGAGAATCAACAAATAAAACCCATTTAAAAATGCTGTATATATATCTTCCATTCTCACATTTGGTGAAGACACCATCGATCTAACACTTGGCTTCAATAATACAGAGAGTCGATATGAGTTTCTCACCACCAGCACCCTTCAATGGAACCACACCATTTGCCTTTCCTCCAAATCTGTTGCCCAGTGATGCGAGTCCTGATTGGATGAACAAAGCTGACAATGCATGGCAACTTATCGCAGCTACTCTTGTGGGCATGCAGAGCGTACCAGGGCTTATAATCTTGTATGGTGGAGCAGTCAAGAAGAAGTGGGCTGTTAACTCTGCCTTTATGGCTCTCTATGCTTTCGCAATGGTTTTAGTTTGTTGGGTTTTATGGGGTTATAGGCTCTCTTTCGGTGATCAACTCATCCCTATTTGGGGAAAAGTCAACGCTTCCGTGGAGCAAAAGTACCTTCTTGAGCAGGCATTTCTTGGATTGTTCCCAAACGCAACTATGGTGTTTTTTCAGTTTGTTTTCGCCGCCATCACATTGATTCTGATAGCCGGAGCAGTTTTAGGAAGGATGAATTTCTATGCGTGGATGCTGTTTGTTCCACTTTGGCTAACCTTTTCTTACACTGTTGGTGCTTTCACCATCTGGTCTACTACTGGTTGGTTATCTACAATGGGAATAATCGACTATTCAGGTGGTTATGTCATCCATCTTTCTTCAGGAGTTGCTGGTTTCACTGCTGCTTACTGGGTACATGAATCTTATATATACAGTGGTTAATTAAAAGAAAATCGTTTTATGTTTTTAATTTCTTTACACCATAGCATCACAATTTTTCCTTTGTTTTGTCCTAGGTTGGTCCAAGATTGACAAAGGATAGGGAAAGATTTCCTCCGAACAACATTATTCTCATGTTGGCCGGAGCTGGGCTGTTATGGATGGGGTGGACTGGTTTCAATGGTGGTGACCCTTATGCAGCAAGCGCAGATGCTTCTTTAGCAGTTTTGAACACCCATGTCTGTGCTGCCACCAGTCTTTTAACTTGGCTCATCCTTGATGTAATTTTCTTCAAGAAAGCTTCGGTCATTGGTGCAGTTCAAGGCATGATCACTGGTTTAGTTTGCATAACCCCAGCAGCAGGTACTTCTTCTTGGCTTAACGTTTCCATAAATGTGCAATATAAATTGAATGACCCATGACATTATTAGCATAATTACGGATCTTCCTCAACCTACATGCATGTTATTTCAAAGCATTGACTTTATCCGTTAAACTCTAAAATGTTTAATAGATTATCATGTCACCATTCTAATTTCCATATAGCTTACATATAGGTTTAGGGTTTCTTCAAACCCTAATACACTTCCCTAAAGTTCAAGACATAAAATAATCCATTTATATGGTAAATATTACTCATATATACAAATATTTTCAATAAAGAATCCTGCCAGACATGCCACGTACAGCTTAATTTGTCAAACGCTCTTTCAAGATTTCTTGTTTTAGTCGACTTATTTGGTTTCAAATTTGATCAGGTGTTGTACAAGGATACTCCGCAATAATAATGGGATTGTTATCGGGTTCAATCCCATGGTTCACCATGATGGTGGTCCACAAGAAGTCCGAACTCTTACAGAAAGTTGACGACACAATGGCGGTGCTACACACTCATGCAATCGCCGGAACCCTAGGTGGCCTCCTCACCGGGCTATTTTCTGAGCCACATCTATGCGAATTATTCTATGGATATACAAACAAATACATGGGTTTATTCCCAGGTTTGCACCGTGGGTCTTCACAAAGCATTCGTTATGGAGTTAGACAGATGGGTGTACAAATACTTGGAATTTTATTCGTGATTGTGCTTAATATTGTGATGACAAGTTTAGTGTGTTTATTCGTGCAATTAATCGTTCCATTGAGAATGTCAGATGAGGATATGGAAATCGGAGACGAGGCGGCTCATGGTGAAGAGGCGTATGCGATTTGGGGACAAGGTGAAAGGTTGGAGAACTCGAGGTACTCGAACTATAACGATATTGAAGTCCCGATTAAGGCTGGAGGGGGTTCAGTTGAGTTGACATGAAAAACATGGGAATATAAATATAACTATGTGTTTAGGTTTGAATGGGTCGCGAATTTGAAGTTTTATGGTTTAATAAACCCCCATGAATGTGAAATTGTTAATCATTCAAAGGAAATGTAAGGGAGATTAATAAAAGTTATATTAGTATGATCTAGAAATTATGTTGAACTACTGATTTTAATAAATATTTATTTTATTGTTGAAATGAAAGTATATATATATATATATATATATATATATATATATATATATATATATATATATATATATATATATATATAATTAGGTTCAAATGTTTTTAGCAACTATTGTTTGCTTAAATGCACCAATAAGAATTCAAGAAAAATAAATAAATCATTAATGTAAAAAAAGGGTAGATGGGTCATTTTGTTTTTATAAACTAAAAATAAATTCTTATATATTTGGTATATCCCTTAAATCACGTCTACTATTGTTTTGCTTATTTAAAATCATCATATCCACAATCCTAAATGCACAAAGAGGGGACGCGTCTTCTTCAACAGATCGGGAATAAGGAACGATCGAATGGGAGCAGTCAAAAATCAAGGGCACTAGTGAGGGTCAAATAGATTTGTAGGGTGGGCTGAGAAAGGGACTTCGGTCCTCATCGTCGTCTTCATCAAATCGAGAAGGCATCAAATGATTGAGGGAAGTCGAATGGTGGTCCCTTAAATCACGTGTGCAGTTTTTTTTACAAACCTTATCATTTTCAAGTCTCCAAATAATTAACCCTATGACGTCGTCGACATTTTCTTCATCATCTTCATATACTACATGCAACACAGTCATCATCTTCACGGCATATGATTGATTTTTCTACAAAGATTAGTAACGAGACACATGGAACACACCATCGATCAGATCCGGGTAACTTTTCTTTTTTGTTAAAAAATGTCATATTTAGTCAGTAAGTTCTTTAGTTATGTAGAATTGAAAATATTCCAACTTGCTGTCTTAGTGAACTGTTGGTGGAATTGAAAATATTCCGATTTGCACACCAACTGTTTGTTAAAATGTCTCAGTGAACTTCAGTTACTTATTCCAAAATTTGTTCTTTCTTGCTTAATGAGTCACTTTCAGTTAGAAGGAAGCATAGAAAAAGATGTTAGTTCGTATGGTTCCAGCTCTTGTATCAAGGCCTTATAATGTAAGTAACATTCTTTATTCATGTGTTCAAGTTGATGAGTTTCAATTTCTTTTATGTGGATGCTCTTCTTTCTTACAAAATAATGTTTTCAAATCTTATATGAAAACCACGTTTCTATGCTTTAATGGGTCTGCCATATATTTTGTTTTTCTTTCGATTATGGAATACAATTCTAGGTTGTTTGTGCCTTTTTATTTTTCATCAACACAAATTAATTTACTATTTGAACCTTGTGGTATGCATTCTAAATCATGTTGCTGGAAATTATGTTTATATGTAAACTATTGCAAGTAAATCAAATATGGTTTTTGGCTTGTTTGATGATAATGTCTAACAAGTGTTTGTTGAAATGCCTGAAAGAGTATTTAAAGAATTTAACCTTGTGGTATGCATTCTGTCGGAATTACTAGCTGTAAATACAATACCTTTGAATGTATTCTATATATTCTATCAGAATTTATTCTATCATAATAAAATCGATTTATTCTGCCAGAATGTATTATAAGCATTATATCATATTCTATGTATTCTATCAGAATATATTAAGTGATAGTTAATTGTAAGTAACATGTTTTTTTTAACAATTATTAGTTTTTGTTGTATTTGTGATAGGAATGACTGGAAGAAGGCGTTGAAGACCTTGATATTCTTTTAGAATATGTATAATTATATTAAAATGTATAAAGATTTTAGTCTATAAGAATATGTATGAATTTGTATTTAAGTTTGGATGTATAAGAATATATTAGAATGTTGTTATTTTTCAACATCTGATTCAAAAATTTTGTTTTTCTTCAATAATATTCTATTATAATAAAATTCTGAAAGAGAATCATTCTAACAAAATAATATTCTATTAGAATAAAATTCTGAAAGAGCATCATTCTAACAAATAATATTCTGACAGAATAAAATTGGTAAAAAATTGAAATTGAATTAATTAAAAAATTCATATTTTTTTTAAATTAGGAAAATTAATCATCCTTAAAAATCCGAAAATTTCCTTTTATAAATGTAGTTAATTGTCCAAAATACCCTTTTGCTTAAAATTGTGTGATTATATACTATATGTTACCCCATTGTAATATCATACACCCTCAAATCATGTTCATTGATTAATTTCATCAATTGGTCCAGATTTGTGCATTTTGGCACACAATACTTAGTAAAAACAAAATAACCTAAGCCTATATATATATATATATATATATATATATATATATATATATATATATATATATATATATATATACACACACACACGCGCGCTACGTAGAATAAAATTATATGGTTTAAATTTTGGCAAAGACATGTTGAAAATATGCATGTTACTAATATTAGCAATGAAATAATAATTTCTTATTCTAATTTGTTATATGAATTTGTAACAATTTTAGATCTTATTATAACATCTATTAAAATCATACTTTTTGACGGCCGCTACTTGTGACTACCTTCTTAATAAAACTAAATATAACATTCAATTTACTATTACCTTTTTAATGTTGTGATTAAATTAACATTTTTTTTAACAACAAGAATTTTATAGAAAACAAGCTAGCAATTAAAGAAATAAAGAAATAACCTTTTTTAGATTTGTATTATATAAGTTTGATACATTCTTATGAAGGGTTATGACACTAATCAACCCAATTAAAGAAATAACATTTTCTAGATCTGTATTTATTCTATTTGAAAGTCAACATCTTCACCTCGCTAGCCAACATATGACAATTCTTAACATTGTCATTAAATATTTTATCACACCTTTAACTCCAGATAGTCCAAGCAAAAGCTGAGAGCACAACCGAAACAACCTTGCTCATGCAACCAAGGGTACCAAAACTAGACGCGCAACTGAAGAGATCATGGAGAGATTTGATATCCACCGGAACATGATTCCCCCAGTTGTTGATGGTAGCACACATCCCGAGAGACTAAACAATTCAGAAAGAGGTGGGACTCTGTCTCTAACAAAATGTTTCAAATGGACATGAGAACCGATAAATACCCAATTTAAGCATTCTTTCAAGAATAGATCTCCACACAAATATATTAACATTACCCGGCAAGATTCTGTTCCAAGGAGTACTATCCTCAAGGCATCCCAGAAGATGGTTATCGATAATTTTCCATTTTCCTACACGATGCCATAATAATATGAGAACATTTCATATTTAATAATATATTTTGTTAATATATTATATGTTATATTGAAATCCGAAGAGTCTGGGTTTTTTTTAATGTTTGTGGTATTTGAAAATATTCCTCTATTATTAAATATTAGGCGAATGGTTGTGTGTTGCATAGTAAAAAAAAAACAATAATTAATGTTAGACTATTAAATATTAGAACAATTAAAAAGATACGTTAGATTGGACATGTAATTTTAGAGTTGATTATATTTAATTGTTCAAACTCAAATATAAGTACTAACTATTATTATACTAGTTTATAACTCGTGGAAACCACGGTTATAAATTTAATTAAATTTTAGTAATTAAAAACTCAAAATTATTAAACACTAATTTTAAATAAATTATTAATTAAGAGATTTTTTTAATTATATAAAATTATAATCATTGATTTAAAAAATATGTAAAATGATATCACTTTATAATTTGTATTAATTTTATTTTAACTTTTATTCTAATGTTTAATTTAATGTAATTAGAGTGGAAATTTAAAATTTGAAATTTCAAATGGATAATTATTAGGTTGACAAATGACATGCATTAGTTAGGAGACATAATAAGGTGATACATTGCAAAAGAAAAATAAAATATACATTAATTATGAAGCTTAATATGATTATACATGTCAAAAAAAGAATTAAATTATTCTTTTATTAGAATAGGAAGATTATTTTTATTAGAAAAACAATAATATTTCCACTAATGAAATTATAACCATATTTAAACAAATTAAATAGGTTTACATTGTGGAAGTTATATGACACTAAAAATTTCACCAATTAAATAAACCTTACAATTAAACTATCAATTAAGTATCATTATAATAAAAATAAAAATAAATAAAAAAAAAAATCATCTTCTTTTATTTATTTATTTTTTTTAAATCTTCATTTATATTAAATGAGATTTAATGAAAAAGTATGTGGGTAATTGAGATATCATCTTTTTATTTTATATTAATTTAAAAGGCTTTTGAGTATATGTTATATGATATTTTATTCAAATTTAATATTAAATATATTTTTTTAGAAAACAACATCAATGCCTTATGTTAGTTCATATTAAATTTACAAAAATAATAATAATAATAATAATAATAATAATAATAATAATAATAATAATAATAATAACTGTTTATAAGATATAATTAACATATATTTTAATTGTTATATCAACCTTTTTAATAAACTTAAAACAATACTTTTTAATATAAAATATATTTCTTAGATTCAGTGGAAATGGAATTTCTACAACTTTAGAGTATCATTAATTTGTAAAATCTCATTTGTGTATGCTATATTTTACAAACATGCAAAAAAGAATTTGATATGTATAATAATGTTTTTATGATTTTTCATTTAGTAATTAACATCTTAGAAAACATATTATCTTTAAAGCGTTTTAAGAGGTGAAGGCATGTAAAAATAAAAAATCAATAATCTTTTATTAAAAAATGACATACATAACTTTTATAGGACAGTAAAGTAAACCACAAAACTAATATCAAATTTATTATTAATTATTTTAATTATCGTCTTTGTAACTTAATATACACACAATTTATTTTGTTACACTTTTTAATCATTTTCTTTTGTACATATTTCTATTCAAATGTAAGTATTAATTATATTGGAATA